TGGATCTTCCATAAATCGTAAGAAGTCCACAGGACCGTTCTTCGTTCGCTTTTCGTGTTATGGGCCATGAGGCCTCGTGAGGAGAGCTCGGAAAGAGGCCTGTAGCAGGGTTTAGGGCTTTAGGGTTTCGTGTAGGGCGTAGGGATTCCGCGGTCTTCAGTGGAGTCATTACTCTATGTGGTTTTCCGGCAACTAGGTTAGCATCTCATAGAGGCCTCCTAACAGCCGAAACCCTCAACGGATAGCTTCGAGGGTCCAGGCCCCCTTTTCCACTTGCTGCACGAGCCTCTTCTAAGGTCTAAATCCGAAGTCCTGAGTCGTTGTCATGCGTCCGAGGCCCCCCCCCGGGAAAAAAATAATAGAAAACACAAAGCAACACACCGTAAGCCACCGGAACCTCCACCGTTGACGCAGCCGCGTGCCTGAAGGCCCAACCCTACTTGGAGGATCATGGGACTCAGTAAGTAAGGTCATAAGTACCCTAATTGCAGTTTTAAGTATAGTTACCTTATTTATAACCCTGGTTACTAAGTCCCATGATCCTCCAAGTAAGCCACGGCATGTATTGATCTCCAACTTCGCTAAAGGTCACACCACTGGCCAGCCTCACTTCGGATTTGACCCTTAGTTGCTTAGGGGTGCTTAGAAATAATTTTGAATTTTTGGTGATTAGAATCCCTAAGAAACAGCTAAAATTACAATTTTTGCTAGGGTTCTAAGTTCAGTATAGGTTATGGCTTAAATGCTGCAGACCTCCGTCGACTCTGGGGTGCTAAGTCCTCGATTCTTTGAGCAGCCCTAAACCCTCCCTTATACAGTTATCGATCTCTCTAAGGACCCCTTTCAAAGAACCCTTATAGACTTATGTATCCTTTTAAAGACCCCTCCCTGATAGAACCCTTGTAGATCCCTTTAGGAACCCTTTAAAGACCCTAGTTACGATGGCCTTGGGTGTTTTGGGATGTTTTGGGGCTCCACCAGCTCCATCCTGAGATGGTCAGGACGTCTCGGGGAATCCCTGGGCGGGAGGTGGGCTGAGGGATGAAGTTGGGAATCAGGGGTCTGTATGTATGTATATGGATGAATGTATGGATGGATGTATGCTGCTTTGCATGCATACATGCATGTACGTATGTAATGTACTGTACTGAACCGTTACGCAGTTTAATGTAATGTAATGCCATGCCATGTCATGTGATGTCAGTCTGTTTGTCTGCCTGTCTCCCTGTCTGTCTGTCTGTCTGTCTGCATGTATGTATACTTTGCATGTCTGCATGTGTGCATGTTGCATGCATGCATAAATGTATGTAAGGCAATGTGCTGCACTGTACTGTACTGTAATGTTTTGTCATGTAATGTCGCGTAATGGTTTGCAATTTATTTCTGTCTGTCTGTCTGTCTGTCTGTCTGTCTGTCTGTCTGTCTGTACGTATGTGTGTGTATATGTACGCATGCATGCATGAGAGTATGTATGCATGTATGTATGTATGATCGTATGAATGTATGGATTTATGGATGAGTGTATGTATGTATGCGTGTATGTATACCTATATGTATGTAAGAATGATTTTCTGCCTGTGTCTCATCGTTTGTGCCTTGATTTGTTCATTTGGCTTGGCTTTGTTTTTGTATGTTTGCAAATGTTGGTGGTTGTTTGTCCTTTGGTTCGTTTGGTTTGTTGGTTGTTGTTGGTTTATACGTTTTTTGGTTGTTGCTTTGTTTGTTCGTTTATGTGTTAGTTAAGTGTGTGCCTGCCTGTTTATTTGGCTCTTCTGTTGGTTGTTGATTGGTGTCTGTTTGTTCGTTTGTTTGTTTCTTTGCTTGTGTCATTGTTTCTTTGGTTGTTTTCTTTGTTTGTTTATTTCTTTCTTTGCTTGTGTGTTTGTTTGTCGGTGTGCTCGTTTGTTATGCTCGTTTGTTTGTTTGTTTGTTTGTTTGTTTATTGCTTTGTTTATTTGTTTGTGTTTTTGTTCGTGTGATTGTGTTTTTGCTTGCTTGCTTGTTTGTTTGTTTGCTTATCTGTTTGTGCGTTTGTTTTGATGTCGCTTTGTTGATTTGTTTGTTTCTCTGTTGCTTGCTTGTTTGTTTGTTTGTGTAGGTGTGTGTTGTTTGCTAGTTTGGTCAGCATTTGGCTGCTACATGTTGCTATATTCGGAGATACCGAGAGACAGAAAGAGAGGCTCACATGTGGAGAAATTGATTAGGTAGAAAGACGGAGAGGAGGTTTCAAGCAACATACAGATAGACAGTCTCGATACATAGAGAGACAGAGAGATAGATGGGACAGTACATCGATGGATGGTGGCTGGATGGAGATGCAGCTAGACTGTTGCTTGGCTAGATACCGTAGTTCGTCAGGAGCAGAGAGAGGGGCAGGGACGCCCTGAAGCCCTATCAGCCCTGTTTGTGGGCTTTGAACCCTAAACCCTAGATGTTCTGGGCTCGGCTTGGGGCGATACTGATACAAGGAATGTCAGTTCGATCCTGAAGTCTTCTCTTTAGACCGGGCCAGGCCTTTCGGATCGGAAGCCGAAGCCCTGCTCCTGTCAGGTAGTGTTGTCTTCAACACGCAGTGCTCCATCTACGGCTGCGTAGATGCCACGACGGTCGGGGGCCTTCCGACCACAGGATTTTGCCAGAAGTCTCCGTGCTTGTTTGAGACTGCGTCAGGTCATGCTTAGACAAGTGACCAGAGTAAGGGAAGGTTGCACGAGCATCGCTTCGGACCACGATAGCAACTCAGTTTTGGTTTGGTGTTGTCGGTCGCACTCTGGTGGAGTGCAACTACGCGGTGTCATAGTTGGTGCGAGTAGTGTTGCCCGGCTGCACGAGCTGTAGACTTCTTCATCACTTTCTGGCAACCGGTGCTCGCCAGTCAACTAGGTATTATTGAGGCCTGTAAGCGGATGAGAAAGCATCTTCTCACGTTGCTTGTTTGCGGTCTTGAGGATCTTGAAAATATTAGTGTGCCTTCGGGGGGCAGGATGCCTCGGAGGACTTGAGGAAACTGCAGGGCGCACTGTGCATGCTGCATGGCCCGCTGCAATAGCCTTTTCGCGAAGTCTAGAAAGGCAATCACACAACAGTCGACCTAGGATTTTGATGCACGTGTACATACCGAATCAATAACACCATTAGCATTAGCGTTACTATTATCATTACTGTCACTGTGTCACTGTTAGTAGTATCAATATTGTCACTCGTACTACTGCTATTACTACATGATTATCATCATCATCATGTCTTGGTCATTGTTACTACTCGTGCTGTTACTATTATTGCCTTCGCCATAAGTATATTTTTGATAACAGTAATATTAGTAATTGTTCTTGTTGTTATTATTGCTATTATTAATTATTATTACTATTTTACATCGTCAAAAGGCTTCAGATGTCAAGCTCTCTGTGTCTTCGCCTGAGGCGACAACGACTCAGGACTCCCTGATGCTTCCTTAAGGTCCGTTTTAAGGGGTTTAGGGTTTGGCGGTTTAGGGATTTAGGGACTTGGAGTTTAGGGATTTAGGGTTTGGCGAGTTGGGGGTTTAGGGATTTGGGTTTGAGGTATTTAGGGTTTGGCGGTTTAGGGATTTAGTGATGTGGGGTTTAGTGATTTAGGGCTTCGGGATTTAGGGATTTAGCGTTTGGGGTCTAGGGTGAAGGGAATTCAGGTCAACGGGGCTGCAGAGATTCGGACCGTGACTAGCGGCTTCTAAGCCAGGGTTTAGGATTTAGGATGTGGACTTCCCGAATCTTTAAGGATCTTGGAGTTGTAGCCACGTGGTCGTTGCATCCTGAAACTCGAGATGACCAGTTGATCAGTTTTTGCAATCTGGGGTAGCCGTGTGGCACGAGTCCACAGCACAGTCGGCGCCTCGGTTCCTGTCATATGCATAGCCCAGGTGTGAAAAGGATGTGGAGATGAGGCTTCGGTGTCTTGAGTCAGAACAATATCAATTAAGAAGCCCTGAGGGCCCAAAGAGCCCAATAATTGGGTACTTCGGTTTCGGATAGTAGTTATGTAGGTTACTATTCGGGAGAGCAGAAAGCAGGCTTGTGTAGCTCAGGGGTTTGGGGTTCAGTTGCCCCTCCCAAAGCCTGATCTGGACACTAGGATTTGGGTGGTTCTCGAAATTAGACAGGCCGAGCATGTAGATTCATGTGGGTGGTTGTCAACATTATGGTCCCTTTTTGGTCGTTGGTAAAGTACGGCACCTATTTTTTAGGGTACCCAAAAAGGGAGACAACTACCCATTTAGCGTTGAGAGCTCAGGGCAGGAGGTTTATGTAGTCTTTGGGAGTTTCTGAAAATAGGGTGGTACCTTATTTTGGGGTCCTTATAATAAGGATCCTACTATTTCGGGCCCTGTTTTCGGAAACTCTCATTCGAGTTTGAGACATGGGATGTAATGAGGACCACATTGGCAATCCCCAGCCCCCAACATGTTTGTCTGTCTGCATGGCAGGTTCAAGCCAAACTCGCACTGTTTGCCATCGAGAACCAGCAACCAAGTTCTTGAAGCCCTTAACTAACGAACACCCAAACCCCAAATGATGCACCTTTGCCGGACACCTTGTCAAAACTACCGTAAACCCTTGCGAGGACTTCCAAGCCGAAGACTCCGGCCCCTCCACTGCCAGCGTCTCAACTACCGCTCGGGTTCCGTTTCAGGGTTTGGGGTTTTGGGGTTTAGCATTGCCAGGTTTATATTTTCAGGGTTTCGGGTTTGGGGAGCCATCGATTCTATGTTCATGCAAGATTCCAGAGGAATGTTGAGAATATTGTCATTGCTTAGACAGGCTTCGTGATTCCGTGGACTGCTACCAGCCTTCCTACAGGCGCTGCTGTTTCGAGCCAGTTGCACATCATTCTCAGACAGTGCATATATTGGGCTTTGCGCAGCCGTCGACTACAGAACCCGTCCTCTGTTATTATCACAATCATCGTCGCTACATTGCAGCACTTGCAGGCTCAGGTAGAACTCTCTGTGGGAGCTCGTAAGCATGGCGGACTTCAAGTTGAAGGTGGATGAATCCAACAAGGCAACGGAGTTGCCCCTGCTCCGCATCTGCGGCACTGTTCAGCAGAATCCACATATGCGAGCATTCGTGGCCCATATTGCTTGGCCCCCTCCAGAGGACGATCGCTACCTGGACTGGCGAAACCGCAGCAGACATTTGCTCAGGGAAGCATTTCGGAGGCACTGTTTCTTTGCTTTTTTGGCACAGGACCGCAGAGACAGCCGGATGTTGCGAGATCTTGTCGTCTACGATGAAGAAGTGGTCGCACGTGCGCGCGCCCTCTACCGCAAGAGCCGTCACTCATGCAGAGCGGTCCTGTTAGGAGCTGCATGGTCGTCGATGTGCTACAGCAGGGCTCGTGGTGAAGCTGATGCTCAGGCTTGCAATTGGTGCGGCTCTGAGAACCTCGCAACTTGGCATCACATTGCATGGGAATGTCCTCATTTTGCTCAAACAAGACCTGCTCGAGTTCCTGACAGTGTTTTGACTCAGCGCCTGGGTTGGCCCTGCCGGCCTTTGAAGTCTGAGCACAACGAAGAGATTCTGGAGCACCTGGCTACGGTTCGCGAGACCGTGCGCCGGGCTGATGGTTTCCGCGGCTAGCCTTCGGGCACCTGGGTTGAGCTGTCCTTGAGGCGCTCAGCCTAACAAGCCACCACTCCTCGCCTTCTTGGGTTGGTTTGCCCTTGCCCCGTTGGGGCTGGAGGTGGCCACCAGCATCAACATGTGTGAGAACCAGAAGTTCCCACCCGCCGAGAATCCATTGCGGCCGGCCTATCTGAAGTACAAAAGCCTGAAGACAGGTCTGGAGTACTGCCAGTATGGCAAGGTCAAGGATGGTGATGTCATCACGGACTGTGCAGCAGTTCCAGCTGATGTCATGAGCAGTGCCACTGCGACTGCTGAAGAGAAGAGCCCGTATGCGCCTTCAGTCTTGGCCAAATGTGTATGCACCACTGGAACCGAGTGCAACGGAATGATAGCGAACGCAGGCGTTGTTGCAGTTGCGTCCACCATCTTCGTTCGCATCGCCCTAGGCACCCTCCTGGAGCGCTTCGGTCCAGTGAACGTGCAAGCCAGCCTGCTCAACTGTCTTGTTTTCGCCCCCACCAGGGGGCGTACCACTGCTCCTAACCCTGTGACAGGTTGGGGCAGCAACCTATATATAAGCCAGCCTGCTCACTTTCGGAGCATTCTGGGTGGCCATGGCCGCGGCCATTTCCGCTCCCTGGAATTATGCGCTGATTCGCTTCTTCATCGGTTGCGCAGGGCGCAGGACCTATGTTTCTCTTAGTTACGTTGTAGCGTCCCGTTGAAAGCACTCAGCCCCCTGTGAAGGAGCCACTTTCGTGACCAACCAGTTCTGGTGTTCCTTGATGTTCGCGCCCAATGTGATTGGAACTGCGAACGCTACAGCAGCCGGATGGGGAAATCTGGGCTGTGGTGTCACACAGATCTTCATGATTTCCGTCCTCTTTAACCCCATGGTAAGCTCGGGAATGGCAGCTGACACAGCCTGGCGAGTGGCCATGATCGTGCCTGCCGTTCTCTTTATCATCACGGCGGTGAGCTTGAAGCTGCTGTGCTGGGACACCCCCACCGCAAAGAGGTTCGACGTGTCCGTGACGGGCAAGACCAAGAAGCCATCCCTGTGGGACTACGTTGAAGTGTGTTCGGACTTCAGGGTACTTGTCATGATCATGCAGTGGCCAAGCTGCAAATAGGCATCGCTTCAGCTAATTGCTTCGCAGGCGATGATATTTTTGCCCTTACTGGTTTCTTCATCTGAGTCTGTCGCCAGCCAGGTACTCGGCTTGTTTCGGCACGGAGCTGGCGGCCTCTCAAGGCGACGCTCCCCACCGGCGCCGTAATTGAGAAGAACGAAGGACAGGGCAACTGCCTGCCTGCTGCTATCGCGCAAGCGTTGTCGGACTTTACTGGCAAGCCTCGTTCCCAGAGGGGGGTGAGGCGGTCAATGGTCGAATGGATGCGCGCCCACTCTTTGCATCTCCAGCCTCTGTGGGATCAACGGAATGTGCAGGACGAGCTGACGACAAACTCTTTCGAGGAATACCTGTCCCAAGTTGAGCAAGTGAATGCTTACTGTGGGTTACTTGAGGTGTACGCCCTGTCCAAGGGCCTTCCTGCTAACATTTTAGTGATTGATGAGACCGCGGGCCACCACATTCGCTTCGCCTCTCAATCCGATACCGACCCGTTCATCGTGCTTCGTTACGCCGCAAAGCATTACGAATGGGTCCGTTGTGACCCCGCGGCCCTTGTCGAGATCTGGACTGGCGCGGCCACGGGCAAGACTGTTGGCGGAAGAGGAGGCGGACCAGCGGACTCCTCTCTCAGGTCTTGCAGGTTCATGCAGGTCTCCACGGATTCTGAGGCTGAGTTTTCTGGTCAGGCCAAGGTTGGAGGCCCACAGACTATCGCTCAGGATGGGGGGGCTGAGGATGGCAATCCCCTCGCGAGTTCCAGCTTCATGCAGGTCCCCACTGACATTGAGGCTGAGTTTCCTCACCATGCTCACACTGCTAGGCCCAAGACCTTCATGCAGATCGACAGTGCTTCGGAAATTGGGACGACTGCGCCCGCCCCTGCCAAGCGCCCCAGTCTGGATGCCGAGGTTTCTTCTGGCACTTGTAAGCGACAAAGGAAGGACAACAGCGTTTACAGTCAGCAGACTGACACCAGTGCTGCGCCTGCCAAGCCCAACAGGGCCCCTGCGGCTTCTGGTGCCCGCAAGCCAGTGCGCGACACGTGGACCTGGTTCTGTAAGTTGTGTGGTTTCACTGTTCGGGCCCCCTCTAAAAGCCAGGCCAGCCAAGGCCGTAGCAACCACCTTAACCGCCTTCACCCTGGCTTGTCCCAGGAGGAACGGGCTAAACTCCACAAGGTCAGAGTCGAAGCCGAAGTTGTTGCTCCCTACAAAGGTGAGCTGCAGGTCGGAGGATGGATGTGCTTCAAGTGTAAACGCGTTTTGCCGCCTCTGAAGCACTCGGACAGGCAGGCCAGCATTCGCATGCACATGCAATCCTGCTATGGCAGTAGGTGTCCCTCCCACGGTGAGAATGCCCGCAGAGTCTTCGTCAGCATGGGTGGCGCCTGCAGCAAAGGCAAGAAGCCCTCCCCTAAGGCCTTCAGCACTGCCATTGTCGTGACCAAAAAGTTGCGTGAACTCCGCGAGTCTAGCCCCCACAACCTGCAAGTGGTGGGCAGCTTTGGAAAGTTTTACGCCATCACGTGCCTCAAGTGTTGTGCCAGGTGGAAGAACCTGTACTGTTGCCTACAGGATCATCGCAATCCTGAGTGCTGCCGCGACAAAAGGGCTACCAACCTTCAGAAGTTTGCCAAGCAACGAGTTCTCTTGCCTAAGGGTGTCCCTAAGCTATTCCTGGAGGCTTGGAAGCTTCGCCCAAGTGAGGCTAACCTGGCGCGTCCTAGTGTTACTCCAGACCCTGCTGATGCGGCGGCCTCCGCTGGCCACGACTTGGTCTGCATTCAGGGTGAGAGTAGGCAAGCCAACAGTGTCAAGGCTGGCTACCGCCGATGCTTTACCTGTAGATCGTGCACTCAGCAGTGGCGAAGCAAGGCCCAAGTCCTGAAGCGGGCCAAGCAGACCCCGTGCGGTCCCGAAGCTCGCGAGAAGGCTCTGCGTGCCAAGGTGCGGTTCTGGGCCAGAATGAGCCCGAAGTGGCGCAGCGACGTCGCTAAGGCTTGGTCCCTCTCCAGCAAGGAGAGGCGCGCCCTCGATGCTGCTGCGGTGCCCACGCGCCGGAAGGCCTCCTGGATTCGGGATCTGACTGAGGAGGGAATTCACCCTCACCCAGGGCCTTCACCAGCTTCAGCTCCATTAGCGGTTTGGTCTCTCAATAGCCAAGGCGCCGGCCACGCTTGGAGGGTGCTCGGTAAGGTCCAGGAGGACAAGCCCCACATCTTTACGTTGCAGGAGCCCAACCTTGATGCGGCTCAGGCAGAACAAATGCTCATCCGATTGGGCCTCTGCGGCTACAGGGCGTGGCACCAGCCGGGCAGTCGCACGGGGACCAATCGTGGTGGCCTGGTGGTCGCTGTTCGTGATGACATGCGCGCCTCCCTCTGCCATCAGTCTGTTGGTGAGTTTGGCAACCTCATGACTCTCAACCTTGACGCCTGGCTCCTTACCGTCGTGTGGCGACGGCCCTCGCCTGACACGGGTGATGCCAGCTTTGTGCAAGCCCTGGCCGAGCACCATGCTCTCGCGCACAATCACCCCTGGGCTGCCACAGGTGATTGGAACTGGTGTCCCGACGAGCACGTTTTTCTTCAAGGGGATGAGTTCTCTGCCAGTGTTGCCCTGGATGAAAATGGCTTTCCTCGCCCTACCCGCAGAGAAGGGAGAGCCATCGATTACCTTGTTGCTCAGCATCTGCAGGCTACCGAGCCCTCTCTTGACGAAGAGATTTTCGGCGATCATTTTCTGTTTCGGGTGCAAATCCAGCAGGACGGAGCCCTTCACAGCCGTCGCGTGCTGCGTCCCACTGCCAGTTACGTGCCGCCTGATGGCATGTCCGGTGACGAGTGGAGGGCCGCTGTTGCCCAGGCTTGGGGCAAGCACGATGTGCCGGTCAGCAGCACAGAAGAGGAGTGGCACATGCCGAGGCTTTTCGTGCGGCCTGCCTTAGCTGTCGGTCCCTTAGTACTCCCCCGGTGTCTAGGCCTAAGGGTTCCCTGCCGTGTTTTGTCCAAGCCTTTGACTCCCGCAAGCGACCCATGCGCAGGTCCTTCGCCTCGCGCAGCATGGCAAAGTTTTGTGGCAGGGTTAGAGAGCTTCGCAGGCTCCTGGTACTTGACCAAGACACCACGGCCATTCGATGCAAACTGGACGCCTGCTGGCCTCGCGATGTCCCTCGCAGCTGTCCGTGGCCCGAAGTTGAAAGGCATGCTCACCGTCTGCTGGACGAGTACGCCCAAGCTGAGACCCGCAAAGTCTTGCAGGCCTGGCGGGCTGAGATGGCCAAATGCGGGCGCCCCCCCACGCGATGGCTCAAGCAAGATCACTTGGCCCCCACGCCTTCGTTGTGGATTGAGTCGGAGCCTGCTGACATCCCCGAAGGGAAATCAACCGTGACTAAGGATGCCAAGACTGGCTACATCAGCAGCAGTGTTGAAGAGAATTTTCATTTCCTTCGCACATTTTGGCAACTCTACCCTAGGGTCTTTGCCCACATGCGCCAAGTTCATGTGCCTAAGCAAGGGGCCCTGGTTCAAAAAGGCTGCGCGGACGTGGCCAAGCTTCGGCCCATTGTGGTTCAGAGCGTGATGTGGCGCATTATCTGCTCAGCCCTTGTCCGACGTCCGGCTACTCGCGAGTGGGCTCTGCAATGCGTGCCTGGCACCTGTTACGGCGGTCTCAAAGGCAGGGAAGCCCTACAGGCCGTGATCGCCCTGGCCGAGCACCATGCTGAGCACAAAGGCCCGGTCATCACGCTCGACCTTGAAAAAGCTTTTGACACGGTTGATCCCCGTCTGGCTTTAGATGTCCTTGCACGAGCCGGGGCCCCCAGACAGTGGCTTTCTCTTGTCAAACGTGTCTGGCTGAATCAGACGAGGTGGATTCAGTATGCCGGGCACACTCACGAAACGCCTGCCCAGGTGAAGCGCAGCATCCCACAAGGTGATGCCTTAAGTCCCCTAGCCCTAATCCTTCTCCTTGCAGCCCCAGTCAAGGATGTGGAGGCACATGAGGCGGCCTGTGGCCTTTTGCAGTCAAACTTTGTGGATGATAGGGCGGCTTCCTGTCGTACTGCTGCTCAGGCCCACCGCTACATGCAAAGGTGGACCAGGTGGTCAGCAAAGTTTGGTTTGCTTGAGAATTTTGATAAGATGGAAATCTTGGCCTCAGAGAGGCACTACGGCCTGCTGCGCCGCCTGGGTTTTGCCGCTAAGTGTCTTAAAGCTGCGATACGTGTCTTAGGGGTTGACTTGACCGCCCGCTTGCAGGACGTCGTTAGACCGACGGCTGAGAAGCGCAACGAGGAGGGCACGGCCATTGCTGCTCGGCTCATGCGCATGCCCGCTTCACTGCATGTCAAACGCAAGCTCTGGTCTTCCCGGGTTCTGAGCAAGATCTCCTGGGGACGGGGCCTTCGCTTGCCACGGGATGATGAGATCAATAGGTTTTCTTCCCTTTATAAGAGGGTTACCCGCAGACCGTCCCTTGCCTCGCCCTGGCTCACCTCGCTGTTTGAAGGACCGAGTCAAAGTCACGAGTTTCGTGCGGGATTTCAAGCTGCCAAGGCTCTTTGGCGAGCCCACCTGAAACGTCCTATGCTCTGGGAGATCACTGTCAGGAAAAACACCTGGCAAGGAGAAGTCCGCCACTGGCTCTCGCAGCTCGGGTGGTGCACTGATGCACCGTGGAAGTGGCAACACCCGGCAAGCGGCTGTCTTGATATGAGTAGGCCCCCACGCCCCGATACTGACCATCGCATCCGCGAGTCATGGCGCCGAGCTCAGTTTGCCAAATTCTTGGACCAAGGCCGTCATGAACTTGAAGGCATTCCGGCGCCAATCTACTGTGAACAGACCGTCAAACGCACTTCGGCGGCGTTTCGTCAACCGGTACAGCATTTTCGCGGCATCTTGACGGGCGCTGCCTGTTCGCTTGCCATGCAGAGAGCCATGCGTCGGCAGGCTGTGGGCAGGTGCTGTTGGTGTAACACGGATGCGGTGCCTTGTTGGCACCATCTCGCTTGGCAGTGCCCTCATTTCCTCCCGAGTAGGCCCCCCACTCCAGCCTGTGCCCTGCAACGCCGCTTCGGCTGGATGCAGCATCACGACGTGACGTACGGCACTGCTGTGCTACGCCACCTTGCCGCTGTCAGACAGGCAGTGCTTGATAAGGTTTATGCTCCCCTCCCGTAGGGTGTTGGCTTCGGGGTCTTTTCCCTCCGGTTCTTGCTGCCCTTAGGTGGGTTTAGTCCCCCCTTGTTGGCCATGTGCACATTGCAACTTTCGCTTTCGTCTGTGAGGCTGCGCAGCGTGCCGCGCTTCACACACCTAGGTACGCCTAGGCACGAGGGAGGCGGGAGATACCCCGCTTCATCACGGCAATGGCATCTTCAGGTGCCATGTCGGCCAAGTATTCGCACGGAGCTGGCGATGAACAACCAATTGGCCACGCACTTCAGGACCTACTTCCAGATAAATGCGGCAGATGCCTCTGCCCTCGCAGGAGCATTTGGCCTTATGAATCTCTTTGCCAGGCGTGTGTTGGCTAATCACGTCAAGGGTTTGTTTCAGTGATTGAGCCCTTGTACTGCCTTCTCGCCATGGGCAAGTCAGTTCGAAACGAACCGAAACGGCTCCAGTATGAATCTGTCTGCCAGGTCTTTGGGTGGAATCACGAGCGACATCCTGTTCAAGTACATGGGATTCCGCGGCCGCATTTGGGCGCAATTCTTGTCCCTCTTCTTTGAAGCAATCTTCCTCTTTTGCTTCGGCTTAGTGGACAACTCTCAGTCGTGGTACGTGGCCTTGGCCGTGCTTGTGTGCTTCTCCCTGTTTGTCCAGATGGCAGAGGGAACCAGCTACGGCATCGTGCCTTTCATGAACAGGCTTCAGCTGGCTGTCGTGTCTGCCCTTGTCGGGGCTGGAGGCAACTTGGGAGCTGTCATTGCAGGCTTTTGCTTCTACAGGCCGATCGATGATCCCTTGCTTCCATTCCAAGTGCACGCCGGCTACGTGATGTTCTGGGCATTGCTGAGCCCTTGCTACTACTGGGCGGAGCACGGCGGCATGTTCCATGGCCCTAAGGAGGTGAGCAGAGAAGGCCACCGGAGAAACCCAGGCGTAGAAGCGCGACAAGGTACTCCTAGTGGCAACGACTTCCGTGCTTGTGTAGAGTTAGGGTTAGAGCCACTTGAGTGACTAAATCAATGTGGGCAAAGTGTTTGCAAGTGTAAGTCTTTTCTGTCGAAGGACGAAGTCCTGTTGACCGCATTGCAGCTTAGCGTATCCTGGCGTGGAGCGCAGTGCAGGGTCGCAAGCGCAGAGCGGAGTAATTAGTCGCTTGGTCGAAGCCCAAACGACACCGGTTTTAGCAGCCTTTGCACGGAGTGCAGGGTTGCAGGCGCAGACGTGCAGATGTTTTCGCAGCAAAGTTTACTGCGGATGCGTGAGGTTTTAGACGCCTCCATGTCCTTATGGCATCTTCCACAAAACCAGTAACTTTGAGAACAACCAACCCAGAACCTGCCAGACGCTACACTCAAGTACTGCAAGGCAGTGTATCTGATCGTCGTGGCGACACTGACGATCCTTTGCCACTTGGCGAGTTAGTCGCGGAGCCAACCCGTCAGAGGCATTCAGAGGCATCAATATGATAAATAACAAGCGTATGCAGTTGTCAGACATCGCCCCTTCAAGCCTTCCTAGTCCTACACATACATGATGCAAAGATATGTATGTATGTATCTACGTATGTATGCATGTATGCATGTATGCATGTCTGTATTTTAATACGCACGCATATACAAATAAGCATATACGCGCATATGCATATATGTATATATATATACATATGTATATGTGTAATACACTTTCAAGGATTTCGCTGAGATTGTCGAGGTTTCACACATCGACCTTAATTTTTATTCCAGTCATCATTGCTGTACCAATGGCAGCAGAGTGTCAGTTGCCATGAACTAGCAACACTCCTTCACTGCAGATGCATGCATTGGACGGTCAACTCCTGGTGCAAAGGCGCTTTCGGCGTGGGTGTCTTCCAGCTGTACGTACGAGCCTCTGCTACGGCATGTTTTCGTCGAAGCTCCGCAAGTGTTTTAGTGCACGCTGCGGCTCCCAAATCCCTCGGCGAGTATTGCTTATTACAAACACTCAAGTGCTTATCGACTGGGTTGGAACCGTAATACAGCAGCACGTCATTGTCATTGCTTTGAAATCTCAAATTCCACAGAGGATCTGGGTTGCGGGTCCGGGTGTTGGGGTTAAGGGGATAGTATAGGGAATCACCCTAGACCGTCATAAACCCTTAGTTACCACTCTTCTTATAACAAGGATCCTACTATTTTGGGATACTATATTACTATTATGGGGTACTATATAATATTACGGTCCCTTTATTTTCGGAAACCATCCGAGCACACTTTGCAAGGACCCGGTTTCTGCACCTGAAGAGTCGAAACCTGCAATGCAGGATGAGGGTTCCCTGAATAGAAATTGGAGTCCAAAGAATTCTGGGTTTGGGTCTAGGGTTTAGGTTGAGGACTTATATGAGTAGCATCCCGATCGAAACCTGAGCTACAGTCCCCTAACATGTAACACTTGCGTATGAAACACCTTCCGAGTGCCGAGCCCGTGTCCGTTTCAGCACGGAATCCCTTGAACTTGCTTGCATCCTCAAGATCTAAGCCCCAAACCCCAACAATTGCTATAGAAACCCGACTACTTAGCAATACTCGGCCTTGTTACTGGGCCAGAGTTCACCATTAGGGCCCCTATATGACAGCTTGATGCCGACATGAGATTCCGATACCTCGAACCATTAATCTGGAACCCCATACAAGCACCTGAATCCTAAACCCCTAAACCCTGAACCCGCAACCCAGCTCTGACTTTCTAAACTGTAAACACATGGCAACGGCCCGAAGAACCCGTAGTATCTAGCTGAGCTTCGACCGAGCCCAGTTGCGGAAGCAGCTTTTCGGCCCGTCGAAGTCAGAGGTGCGAGGATTCAGGGAGTTAAGTGTTCGAAGTTACAGTAGAGGCTAGAAAGTTTGAACATCATTATCCTCATGCCCTTAAGGTAAAAGCATAAGAGATCCTAGCACTAATCCTCCTAACGCCATATTCCAACTTTCTGGCTTCTACTATCAGGGTTGAGGGCGAAGGCAATTAATTAGGATGGTCTAAGAGTTCGGAATTCGGCTTGCATAATCCTCAGAAGGGGTTTTCCACAATGGGCCTGTAGATTCGCATGTCTGAAGGCACCGGAGATGCCTCGGACCCTGTATATCCATACACCATAATAAAGGGACCTTAATAATTAATTAGAATAGGGTCTTGGGGGTTCCTTATTATGGTTATAGTACAGTACAACCCTAACCCTTTTCAAACGATTAAGGCCCCTATATTGCGCATGTTGAGTTTGTACGAGTGTTAACTTTCCCTGTTTTCTGGAACTTCACGTGAAAGGTGCCACAGGCTGCAAAGCTCGAAAGCCCGGACTCCTAAACTGTCTGGTGCTTAGTAGGGAATGAGGAAATGGATCCCAAGAGAAGTCCTGTATAATCCCCAATATAGTCTCCGTAACCCATTCCCCACTCCCCACCAAGAACCAGGCAGCAGTCAACAAAGGACCCTAAGCCCTCCAATCCCAGGTGCATGTGATATGTCTCCCCTCCAAGGAACCGTAAAACAAGAACCCTGAACCCGATACAAACCCTCAAACCCCCAAGCCCTGAACCTGAAGGAACCCCCTTTCAAAAATTTCCTACGTCTCCTGGGTCCTGGGGCAGGTCCGACCCTTCAAGCCCGAGGAGCAGCCGAATGAAGGCTGCCGCCGGATCTGGGCCTTCTAGGATCTTCGGGCTTAGGAATCTGGGCTTGAGGGTATAGGGCTTTAGGGTTTAGGGCTTCAGGATTTAGGGATTTAGGGTTTGGGGTTTAGGGCTTTAGGGTTTAGGGCTTAGGGCTTTAATGAGAGAAGATCTGCAAGTCCTACTGTGTTCTGCGAAGCAGTTGGCAACAGCCTAGAACCAGTAATATTCCGCAGAGCTCCCCCAACCCCAAACCGCAACTGCCGCTGAGTTTCCCGAGGCTCGAAGTGCTAGCAATTCCAGCTATCCCCGATGCTTGCAATCGATCTTGCCTGGGTCAGTAAATCTGCAGGCATGGCAACAACATGCAACAACAGTGCTAGCACTGGTCTTGATGCTCCTACTTGTACTTAGTCACCGCCGAGTTGTAGCCGTGTTGCAGTCGTAGATGTAGTAGAAATTGGTTGGAGCGGTCTCGGTCGGGTCGTCTTTGTTCGTGGTACACGTCGTTGTATTCGTAGTGAAACTTGCAGACTTTGTAGGAGTCGCCATCACGGAGACAGCAGGCAATCGTTGTGAGAACTGCGGGAAAGTCATAGCAATCGCAAGGAAATTCACACAGCAACTCCATGTAACTGCCTTGCTGCGAGGGAGCCCACGGAATCCAGTTGCCGCTGGGCTGAAATTTGCGGGTTGCAGGGTTTTAGGGTTTACGGTTGTCAGCTTCCTGGTCAGGCATTGCTACGGGGTTCGATCCAGATTAGCAATTGTTTGGTGGTCAGACTGTCGAAATCACGGGTAATAGTATTCCGTTATCTTATAGCCGCTATACTGGTGCACCATGCTATTCGCCGAAACCCTGTTCCTATTACTAAGGCCTCTATTCCTACTTGGAGGATCAGGGGACTTAGTAACTAGGATTATAAAGAAGGTATCTATACTTATTCCCCCAAACTAGGGTACTTACAACCTAACTTACTAAGTCCCATGATCCTCCAAGTAGAGGAGCCGCAGAGCTCTGCTTAAGCGTCGGAGTTTACTCCAGGCTCGGGGTTCAGCTGCAAAAAAAGCCCCCGCGGACCCTGTGGCATCGGGCAAGCCTCGTCCAAGGACTCTGCCAGAAATTCGCGCCCGTTGTTTGTTAGGCTTCAGAACACTTGTAGCAAACACGCCAAGATCCTATTGTGATAACAGCTACAGCTAAAGTAGTGGCAGTGATTGAAAATCATGCTACCCTTATCCTGGCATCATACTGGTTGCTTGAACACCGACCTCGTTTAGGGTTTAGGGTTTATGGTTTTGACCTTAGAGCCCTAGGCCCTAAACCGTTTCAGGGTTAGCTCACTCAAATGGGAATTTCCGAAAATAGGGGACCCTAATATTGTACCCTAATATACCCTAATAGTAAGATCCTTATTACAAGTACTCCCCAATTTTCGGAAACTCCCAAATCAGCTGCTGATGCTTGCCAGGCCGCGCCACGTTTGCAGACATCTCCACCGCCTCCCGAAACAGGCCGAAGCTTCGCAAAGGGATGCTGGAGGCGGTAATTGTGCAGTTTACCCATAGGCCCCAAAGTAGTTCCTTTTTAGGATTACCTTATAGGCTTCTAAATAGGAACCCCAAAAAGGAACTACTTTGGGGCCTGAAGGTATTAGAGTTAGCTTCAAACCTTGGTTCTCTCGAAAGCTTCAAGCTGATCCGGGTTGCTTGGTACGTCTGCAGTCTGAAACCCCGAACCCGTTGCCTCAACCTCAATTCATCCCGCTCCACACCTTGAAACCGTCGTGATGCGATGAGCACATGGAAGCCCCAAGCCTTTGTGGAGGTCGCTCTCCATGAAGGGTCCTTGCTGGGATGCAGATTCCGTAAAGCATCGCACCCTGTATAAATATGTCTGGAGATCCCTTCAGAATTCAGAACTTCAGAACTATACACGACCCTTTAACACTCTAGACACACGATGGAGCCTTCTCACGCTCAGAAAGCCCCTAAACAACTCAAGGAAGCCCCACATAATGTAGACACCTGAAAGATTAGCAACAATTTTCGTCTATAGTCCCGAATATGCTTATACTCGCGAATGATCTACCCGAAGCGCCTACATTCGACCGATCCCTGTAGCTTGAAGTTGCTGGGCTGCGATCTTGGTTTTGATACCGATGACTTTGTGTTTTCTGATGCTTAGTAGCGTCGGTGTAGGGCTTCCGATTCATGGTTCCTCCGAGGGTTCGGCAGCTGGAGCCTTGTAGAATGAAGCAGAGGCAGTCGGTTTCAGGACTTGCAGTCAAGGATATGTCGAAGCCTAACGCATTTCGCATTTCCGGGCGTAGTGTCCTGGTTTGGACGCAGCCATGTGGTCTGCAGTTA